ACTTTCCTCACAACAGAATTATCAGATTTACCCTGCATACAGTATTTTTGTTTTAATTGAACTATGAAAATGTTATAGTCTGCTTGTTTTAGGAGTTGGCATGACATTTTGAAGATAAATGCATGGCACAGTGACAAATACATATTAACCATTTAAAATTGACTCAACATACGGATTTAGAATTACCATGAGTTGTAGCACACTTGCTCAACAGCTTACTAAGGTTAAACTACTTAGCTGCATGAAAAAGTTTGAATATATCATCCTATCAGGGTGCAGAAGTAGTGAGCAGAACTTTAGACGCAGTTCAATCTTGACTCTGATGAAGACAGACTTTCTCTTCTCTGCTGTATGGCATCCTCAGGTGAGCCTTGTTTCACCTCACTTTCACCATATAGAAGAGTGCTGAACATGCCTCAGCAAAATATTTCAAATATATCATGTCTGCAAACACCACAGATGTTCCTGTACCAGCTCATTTTCTTTGTGTCTCTCTGATGGAAAATTGTGGATGTGTGTCATAGTGCCTTATAAATTACCTATCACCTATCAAATGTGAGAGCATTTCCTTCTCAGCTTTTAGAAGGAAATCTCCCAAGTATTTAGGATACAATAAATATGTAAAGAGACAAGTATGCTATAAGGAATTCAGAAATTGTATGTGATGTAAACACATTTGTGTTAAGTAGAGAAAGTGCATAAAAATATTCATTAATATACCATGTCACCACTGCAGGGAAATGTGATTTGTACAATCATAGAATCATTAAAGTTGGAAAGGACCTCCAAGAGCATGGAGTCCCACCTTTGACCAAACACCAACTTGTTAACTAGACCATGCCACTAAGTGCAACACCCAGTCATTTCTTGAGCATCTCCAGGGATGGTGATTCCACCACTTCCCTGGGCAGTGCTGTTACAATACTTAACAGCTTCTTCAGTTAAGAAATTCCCCCCTGATGTCCAACTTGGACCTCCTCTGGTACAATTTGAGGCTGTATCCCCTTGTCCAACCACTGATTACCTGGGAGAAGAGCCTTACCCCCACCTGACTACACCCTCCTGTCAGGGTGAGAGGAGAGAGAGTGAGAAGGTTCCCCCTGAGCCTTCTTTTCTCCAGGCTGACCCCACACAGCTCCCTCATCCCTGCTCCTCATCGGATTTGTGCTCCAGACCTTCCCCAGCTCCATTGCCCTTTTCTGAACATGTTCCAGCCCTTCAATGTCTCTCCTTTAATAGAGGAGCCCAGAACTGGACATAGGATTTGAGGGGTGGCCTCACCGGTGCCCAGCACAAGGAGCAGTCACTGCTGCCACACCATTGCTGATACAGGCCACGTGCCTTTGCCCTCCTTGCCCACCTGGGCACTGCTGGCTCATGTTTAGCTGCTGTTGACCAGCACCCTCTGATCCTTTTCCACTGGGCCTCTTTCCAGTCAAAATAGAGCCCCCTAACCAGGGATGACCCGTAGGCACCTGAGAAAACAATTGCACTGAAATTAATTAGAAACACAGGAGACAGTCTTCTATTTCTTGAAGGAATATGTATCAGCTACATTCTACAAAAAACATCCCTTGACACCACTCTCCTCTGGTCCAGCTAAATGTTATTTTAACATGGGTGGATTCATAAGTGAAATGAGATTGGAAGACTGTCGTGTTCCACTGTGGGGAAGTGTGAGGAGTTCTTTTGAAGCTAGATGGTCTAGGACAAAATTAAGTTCAAAAAGACAACATTGCATCTGAGAACTGATAATTGGTAATGAAAAAAAAAAGGAAAAGAAAAGAAAATAGTTCTACTAAAGAGGACTAGCAAAGACAGAGAAGGAGGAAGGAAAATAGGAAAGGATGGGGAGAGAGTGAGGGGGGATACAGAGAGAGAAAGAGCGGGCATTAGCAGAGGGTCGGGGAGTGCCGTCGACATCCGCACAGTGAGGGGAATGTGCAGGTGGCTGCTGGGGAGCCAGCGGAGCCCTGCGGGAGATGCAGCTCCACGGGCACAGCTCCTGCACCCATGGGTGGCCGGGCACGGGGCGAGTGGGCTCGGGCAGGAGGTTCAGGGCCTTGGACAGAGCATGGCGGGGCTGGGCTGGATCAAGGCAGGCCTAGAGGCAAAGGGCTCCGGCAGGAACACAGGGAATAAGGACAGGGGAAGGGCAGCCAGTGTCCAGCCAAACATCCCGAGAGAGAGAGAGGAGTGAGGGAAGGCAAGCAAAAGGACAGCGAGGGCAGAAGAGACAAAAGGCAGCCTGGAGCCAGGACAAAAAGGACAAAAAGAAGGCCAAGGGTAAATTAGGGGAGAAGCTCGGGTGGATGGAGCCAAAGCAAAACCACAAAGATACAAAGAGTCAAAAGGCCTCAAGATTCAAAAAGACAAGTCTCGAAAAGCCCAACCCGAAAAACCTGAAGCCAAAATACCCAAAGCCGAAAAGACCAACTCGATAGCCAAAAAACCACAAGACCCAAAAGCCCCAGACCCCAGTCCAACCTTCCAGTGCAGTCCATTTCTGGAGGCCTTTCACCATCTGACAGGAGAAACCTCTCTGGGGACTCCAGTGTCCTTGGTGCTCTCCTGCTGCCTATCCCATGGGAGGTGTGGAATGATTACCAGGCCAAGTCTCTCCAGAGACAAGGCTTTCACCCATCTTCTCTTAGTTGCCTCTGGCAAGTGACACATGTGCACCCCCTCCCCTACATGCCTCTGACAACCAGTATTGAGACAGAAATCAAGATTAAATTGGCTCCTCACCAAGACCAATCCATTTTGCAATCTCTTCAGACATCACAGTGTATCCTTAGAAGCAAGAGGAAATTTTGTTGCCATAAGCATGTCTTGATATCTCTATAGAGAATATCTGTAAATCAGAAGATTTTCTGATCTTCAAAGGAAGGTAGTTTCATCCATCTACATTTTGTGGGTTCCTGACCATCAGGTTGATGAGTAAATGAAATGGTTTGGGGCTTTTCACAATTAAAAAGATAAAAAGACCAACACAACAGCGATAAGGACAAACAAACAAACAAAAACCTACCACACACACACACACAAAACACACCAAAAAACCAACCAAACAAAAAA